GCTGTCTTGTGGTGTCACAGCCTTTCGTCTCGTTGTGAGAACCTCTTGTTATAGTATCAAAGAGCTCTTATAGAATATACATTCCCTCGCCTTCCTGTTTTTGTTCGGCTCTCTGTACATCACAACATCTTTACAGTACAATGGGGGACACTTGAGTGTCCCATCAGTAGACACTTGACACTGCGTCTTTTTGACAGTTTTCTCTTCAGCTCTCCGTCGGGGCTGTGATGCTGCCCGCTGCCCCACAGCTGTGTTACTATTAGAGACTTGTGTCGTAAAATACTGGGAGCAAAGGTGATATGCCTCTCTCATTGACACGGCCGTTATCCTGAATGGCAGGTTGTATGTTTGCCTCAGGGCCAGACGAGCCATTCACCCCGACACACTGGTCACAAAAGGAGTTGTAAATACAGCCGTTTGGCCTTTCGATTATCTCATTGTTTCTGAAAGCACAGGAAACATCATGTAACACTTCAATATATAGTTAGAGAAAAAAATGTACTGGGAGTAAGTTGTTTAAAAAACAGTTTTTTTTCAAAGACTGATACAGAGACGTGAGCGTGATTAGAAACAATAGTGTGGTTAAATTAAGAAGTGATTCGTGCCCACTGAATTGATTTTTTTTCCGACTTCTCAAAGAGTTATTTTTTTCATTCTCAACTGGTTTGATAGCCTTATGCCCCAAATAGGTTGTCTGAAAGGAGAGCATGGGAAAAATAGCTGCCGTTGTGGAAACTGCTGGGAAAAGGCTGAGTTCTCATTGGTAGCAGTGCAGGGCATTGTGGGATGTGAGTGAGCTGAGAAAGACTGTTTTGCTCCCTCTGAGAAGGACATGGAAACATGGACACAAAAAGCACAGAGATTAGACCGGACCGAGCAGAGCTGACTGACTGCAGTTTATGCTCTGTTGGCTTCACTTCACAGGGACGATGAGAACTGGATGGTCAGTGATAGTGGCAGTGAGTGTGGTGAGGTGGCCACTCCTGCTTCACAGTCGTCTGCTCTAGCCGATTTAAATCCCCTGACATCGGCATGAGCATTGGTGGCATGCATACCGACATACCAGGCTGATGGTTGCCGGCCCATTAGCGAGCCCCAAGTGGTGGAGCCCACCCAGGGCTGCCGACCCTCTCCTGCCCACCTTCTGCCTTCCTGCCCAGCCCTGGCTCTGGATCAGAGGCAGGCCACACGTCGGGGGACAGAGCTAATGATGGCCACAGCCATGCCATCCCTTTCATGCCCCAACCCAAGAGTACAATTTTGGCTAATGCTATTTCCTGCAGATAAGATGCAAACAAGCTCCTTTTGCTTCTTTCTCCTCATCAGAGGTTTGGGAGGTGAGGGGAGGGTGAGCGATAATTAAGTTCGTGCTTTGTTTCATCATCAGCTGGTTGGGTTTTCCTCAGCTTCACTGTTGCTACCATGCCTGCTGTCACAAAGGATTAATTTAAAATATCAGTAATGAAGTGGAGTCAGTGGAATGAAATAAAGATTGGCCACTTGATGTGCGCAGAACCAGATCTAGTTATCCATATCGAACCATTTTGCCCTCCATCAGTCCCTAAGTGGCTTAATCAAGGCTTTGATATGTGATTATTTTACTCACCCAAGACCTTATAAATTGTTTCCAGCCTAAAAGGAGATTGTTGGAGATATTCACGCCACGTGGAAATGGTCTCCTGTTTTTTGCCTCTTTGTGGTCACACATTATCTCTCCTCAAGACATGAGATTAGAGACTTTGCAGACACAACATAGCTAAAGAAATCACAATTTTGACTTATTTTCACTGCGAAACACTCGGGAATTTAAAAACCAGATCACTGAGTGCATTCAAAAGTTACTGGATACTATGTAGCTAACAATATTTAAGGTCATCTTCTGAGGAGCACACTTTAGGAAATGATTTTGCTACTGAGGCGTTTTAAAAATCAGATTTTACCTGTAGGAACACATTAGAGGACAAATTTGCTGTCTCTTAGTTGTAATTATCATAGAGATTGTGAGTAGATAAAGACGACATATCATCTCTAACCATGCAAGTGAAATCATTTTTCTGATTACTGACATATTGACAAGACCGTTTATCAGTGTTTTTGATGGAACCCATGTAATCCATCTTGATTCAATCCAAAACAGCAACATAGGCAGACAACCAACCTCAACTTGCTCTGTCTCATCTCACTGGTTAGCCAGCTCTCACTCAAACAACTCTTATCTTAACACTTTATGATTAGCTGTAGATGTCTTGCAGTAGATAAGAGAAGTGTACGGTCGATCATGTGGATGATATCAGCAGAGTAGATCGGGGCAGTCTATGAGTTACTCAGTTGTGAGAAGCTACAACGCAATGCAGCATCATCCAGCAATACGCTGCAAATCAAATGCATGGAAGTGCACAATTTTCAAGTATCGTGTAGCATTTTTTTAAGTTTATCTCGCAGGAATTACAGTTACCATTATGACTTTAAAGAGACAGTACAATCTGAGTAAAAAACAAAACTAAAAAAAAACCACGTGGTTTCTTGGCATTTAATGGGTTGCATCTTTTATCTGAACTACAACCCCTTGTGTTGTTTTTCTGTAGTGCTATCAGTCAATGCTGTGCACTTGTGATGTTTGTAAAGGAGGAGAAAAAAAAAAAAGCCGACATCTACAAACAAACACGCTCCCTCCTTCAAGAATGTTCGTCATAAAGCCCAGCTGAGGACAGTGAGGTTGATTGTGGATCCTCTTGGCATTTGGTATCATCCCTCTCTCTCTCTCTCTCTCTCTCTCTCTCTCTCTCTCTCTCTCTCTCTCTCTCTCTCTCTCTCTCTCTCTCTTTTTGAGGAAAACAGTGTCGTCAGAAGGGGATGCGTGATGGCAGAGCGCACACATCCGTCCACGTGCCCCTCTGATCCCAATCATTCATAAATTCAGCCAGGGAGATTTGTATCCACCATCCGCCCTGTAGTCTCTGTTATCTCTGCCCCCCCACCTCCCTTTGGCTATTAGGGAGGAATGAAATGTCGCAGTACATACGCGCACAAACATGCTCACATGTCCGATGGCGATGACAGCCGTCTGTCTCCTCTACTCATCTTGCGCTGGCATCTCTTATTTTTTCTCTTTTTTTACCCTTTTGTGTCCATCATTTGCTGCATCGTTTCTACTCAGCATCTTCTTTCCATTCTAGCAGTACTTTGCTCATCTCTTTTCTCCTTAGCCACATTTTTTCTTATTCACTTCTCCCTCTTTCTCTCTATCTCCACTTTCTCACCGTTTCTCCCTTGGCCAGAAGAAGAAGAAGAAAAAAAAAGCAGTGAAAATTCCCCTCAGTCATTTAGCCCAGATTCAACACTGCAGGCAGGCAGGCAGCGTCGAGGCTGTAACTTACCAGAATGTAAATAGAGCAGTGTTTTTCACATTACTTCACCGCTTATTTTTAGTAGCTGAACAAGAGCAGGCAAGGGTGTGCCTTTTCAAGCCCCGACTGTAAGTCTTATCAGCTGAATACACAGGGGGAAAAAATGGAGAGAAATTATAAATCAAACAAAACAATAATGACACAATACAGGAAGTGATGTGTTGATTTATGGCTTAACTTTTAACTGTAACTGGCAGACAATGTTGGGGCAGCTTTTTTAAACATAGGGAAAGAATGTTGTCTCTGTTTTTCTCCTTCTCTCTGATACACTGCACATGCACTCAAGGTGTAATAAACTTTAATTTTAGCCTGACAGTTAAGTATGTTGTGTCATTTGGTGCAGTGCTAACACGGTTTTAAGCGACGCCATGCTTCCTCACCTGGATTTCCCTCCAGGTGACACCTTTAAAAGTCAGATTAGCCTACTCAATTTTTTTTGTTTACGTAGTAGCAGGTTTTATATCATATACTTTTTGCCCTTCCTTAGCAAGGTCAAAGCACAAGCTGAGCCACAGGGAAGTTTGGTCGTTTGCCCAAAGGACTTTACTCTTCAAACGTAGCTGCCAGCCTTTCCTCGATTACTGGTCCGCAAGCAGCTCAAACTTTTGCTTTTACTTCCAGGGATCAAACCAGTAACACCAGTCAGTTTTAGCAGACACGGTGCCTGCAGCAGTGTGGGGAAGTTAAGCAGTGGACAGTGGCTGTGTCTCGTTGCCTCTGTGCCTGGCAGTCTTCCTCCCAGCCGCCCCTCTGCTCGCACCAGGAAATGTCTTTTTCCAACTCATTCTCCAATGCACTTAATTCCACCCTGCTCTCCAGCGACAAAGCCAAAAGCACCATAGCTAGCTCTCCTCCAGCATTGACTGTCTTCCTCCACAACTTTTGCACATCGATTTTCCCTCTGCAGATACCTCGTACGTTGCAAAGATGACATCAACACTGCGGCTTTGAGAATGAGGCCGCCGAGCAAAATCAGCAAGGTGATGCTCGAGGCCATTCTCACGCTGCACAGATGTTTTCTCAACCAAGCACAGGTCACGCAAGTTTTCTCACAAAAAAATGGATGAAAGCAGTGTACGTTGACATGTCTGTGTGTGTCTCTGTGTCTGTGTGTGTATCTGCATGCGCTTCTATGTGTCTGTTGTGGAGAAAGAGGTGCTAAACCCTCCATGTTCAGCACAGTCACTGAACATGATGACTCAGTTGAATTTCCACTGAGGTAAGCTGTCACTCTCTGATGAACAGTGAACTCACAGAAGCACTGAGTCACACACACACACACCATCTAATGTCCCCAGCTAGCTTACAGGCCAGCTAGGATTATATGCTGAATATTTTCAATGGAGGCGTCAACAAATACAACAGAACACGACTCTCTCTCTCTCTCTCTCTCTCTGATGATCTTGGTGCGCAGCCATGGACGCACACACACAGACACACACAGACACACACACACTTGTGCTTGGCCTTGTCCCTGTCCAAACAGTCCTTCTATAGTGAGAGGCTCCAATGGAGTGGATCAGCTCCAGCTAAGACACCCTTTCACACTTCCTCCCTCCCTTTCTCCAAACCCTCCCTCCTGTGTGACCGCAGGGCCTTCCTTCCTTCCTCCTGACACAGAGGCCTGGGGGAGTCGCAGGGGAGTCAGGATGGCCGGATGTGCCCCGATCAGACGCACAGACAGACGGACTGACAAGGAACAGACATGCAGACAGGAGGATGCTGCCGCTACTGTGGAGTTTGGGCTCGGTTTTTCTTCTCATCCGGAGCTACAAGGAGGATGACATCATTCCTGTTTTGATAGGACAACAGGAAGGTGGAGGGAGACGGGGAGCAGCGTGGTGTGTGGGTGAGAGCATGAAGGAGTATAATGAAACAAAAGGAACTGTAAGTTTTGATCAGAGAGGAGGCAGAGCTGGTGGGGGTGGATTTGACCTCAGGTCTGCAGGAGGCTTTGATGTGTGCCACAAACATTTTTTATTTCTAGAAACATACATGATTTTTTTCCGCTCTTCGTCCACCTCCTGAATCTAATAAAGCAAAACAATTAATAAAGTGAGTTAAGACTTGAGCCGGATTTGCCTCACAAGCGTTCTTTAATACGTCAGTCTCAAATACAGAGCATAGAGTTTGCAGGCGCAGGGCCTGCATCTCACACAGGAAGAGCCCCGGCTATACAAAGCAACCTCATGTCTTAGCTTGCAGGTACAGAGCTGCACACTATCAGCAGCAGTACAGCAAGTCTCGTAAGACCTTTGTAGTTTCAGAACACTTCTTCTCAATGCAGTTTATCTCCTCTGCAAGACAGCCATTTCCTCCAGCATTCTCTGGGGGAAGAGAGGGAGAAAGAAATGATATCAAGTGGCTGGAAGAGGAGAGGAAAGAAAGGCAGAATGAAAGAAAGAAGGAGGGAGGATCACAATAATAGCAATCTCTCTTCTCCCCCCTCCTCTTGTTTTTTTTTTCTCAGAAGAGGATACAGTGAGTGCCAGCTGTGCTCTGCTGCTGCTGTACAGTGCACACTACTTCAGAGAAGTCAACCTCACTGCACTCCATCCACCCCATTGAACTGCCAGCTCTGGCAATCAATTCTGAGCCTTGTGCTGTCACTGCTGGCCTCTGGACACAGCAGCTGGCTGCAGGAAGACAAGCGCTCTTCCACAGAGTCTGTCCACCGATCAGCTGCACCCAGCTGTCTAGCAGCAGCCCTGCTATTCAGAGCACTGCTGCTGCCGCTGGTGAGGGAGGCCTCTTTCACTGCTGTCACTGACGCTGCTGAGTCCCCCTTCACCATACTTTCTTTTTCACTTCTTCCTTCCTAAATTTTCAACCGTACAGACACATCCGCCCTTGAGCCGCGCAGCAGGCCTCATATGTCTGTCTAGGCTGGCTTTCTGTCTTTCTTTCTCTTTCTTCCCGAGTCAAATTGTCCATCTGTCTCTGCCTTTACCAACTTTTACTCCACTATTTCCATCTTGCTTTCTCTCTCCCACCCATTCTCCCCCTGTCTTCCATGCTGGGTCTTTAGATGAACTTTCCTTTTTTTTCTTGCTGTTGTAGCCTTTCTTTCTATTGCCTCCATCCATGTCCCTTCTGTCTCTCTGTTTTGTGGTACCCATTCCTCTTTTCCTTCTTTGTTGGTTGCCATGTCTCAGTTTCTCCACTCCTTTCTCTGTGGTCCTGTCCCCTTTTTTTTGCCACTCGCTCTTATTTCCGCACAATTTCCATCTCATTCTTTGTCGCTCTGCCGTAATCTAAACTATGCCCCCTTTTTTCCAAATGTCACAATACTGTATCTTTTCTTCCACTTTTTCTTTAGAGTAACTTCTTTTTCTGTCCCCCTTTCTGCTGTATTTTTTTTACAGGTGTCTGTAAGGCGGGGATTTACATTTTCTCAGGACAGGCAGCCCGTGGAGAGAGGCCTGCTGGCAGATCAAAGGCTCCGGCTGTAAAACGATCTGAAAGAGTCCGGCATTAGCATCCATCAGGGTACCTTGAAAGCTCCCTGGTCAGCCGAGAGGGAAGCTGAGGGCCCCCCAAAGTGAAAGCCCAGTCTGGAGAGGGGTGATGGAGGGGTGGAGGGAGGGTAGACTGGGGGTGGAGAGAGAGAGAGAGAGAGAGAGAGAGAGAGAGAGAGAGAGAGAGAGAGAGGGAGAGGGAGGGAGGGATGAATAACAGGCTACTCGGCTAAGGACATGAAGGAAATATTTCCACGAGGGAGGAAAGTTCCCATAACAAGCCGCAAATGTTTTTATTTCTCTTTTGGACACAGCCCCCCCTCATCTCTTCCTTTAGCTCTTCCTCTCTCTTTCTTTTTTCTTCCTCTATCTTTCTTATTTCTTTTTACAGCATCGAGGCTGTAAGGGGAGAACATCTCCATCTGTGCACCATCTCCACTCAGCTCACCAAACTCAGACTTTTACTACTCCACCCTGCAGTCTACACACAGGGGTCATGTCTGGTCGGCGCTGGGAAGTGGAGTGAAGGAGGGAGGCAGGGAAGGATAGAGTGTGGAAGGAAGAGAAACCTGGATTGGCTTCAAATATTGTATCTCTTTACATCAGAATTGAAAGTGGGAGAGAAGTATGGATGGCAGGAGTATGGGGTGCTTCATGTGTGTGTGTGTGTGTGTGTGTGTGTGTGTGTGTGTGTTCCTTCTTTCATGCAATAAGCATGATTCACAGTCTTGAAATGGATAGGTACCTAACATGTGTGATAGGGATTAAGATTAGACCTGCATTCCTGGTGTGTTCCGGTGCCTGCACATTTGTTTCTTTTTCAATAACAAAAGTAAGGCCGCATTCATCACATAAATCTAAAAAAAAAAATCTGCAACCTTCAGGCTGCTCTTATGATAGAATTCCCTCAAGACAGGAGATTTATAGACACTGAGACCTATGAACACTGAGCTCCTTTTTTCCTGGAAAGAAGTTATGTTATGTAGTGATATTTTGAAATGTCTGCAGTTTTCAAATTCCCAAATCTCCAGTAGAATCGGAACCATTGCTGACTTTGACCTTTAAGCACTAACTTCCTTACTGTAGCACAAAGGCTGGGTGGGAATGATTGATTCATAAGAGTCCAAATTTTAGGGAGGTCGTGGTTCAGTCTGTTTCCCACAGCTCTACAGGCTGACAATCATTCACTGGTCCTGGTCCAGTGTGAACAGGCTCAACAGGTCTCCTGGTGGACGCTGTGAGAGGATTTTAGCATGTGAGATTTCTTTAGTAACAATGAATATACAGGTGTTATGGTTGTTTCTACAGCAGGAGAATTGTAGGCGGTCCACGTGTTCTGAAAGATTTCAGCGTCCTGGACAGATGGGAGAAATTAGAGTCAGAATTATCTGTGTTTATTGATCTGAAAAGCAATAGATAAGCAGGCTGTATAAAGAATGGCATCATCAAGGCATGTAGCTTTATAATATTTTGTTATTCAAAAGTAGGCTACTTTTGCTTAGACATTACCAGATAATATAAGTCCAGTCAGTAGACTCACATGCATATAACATTATATATTCATTGGGGAGATGCATTGCAACATGAAGACTTTCCTTCAGATTCACACTGTAAAATGATGCAAACAAGCATCAGTGACAAAATCTGAAACTTTCCTTTCAGCCAATTAAGTGCAACCATTTCACTTTCTTAAGCTGGCATACACTAATTGGCTGTTGTGCCCTACAAGTGCACTGAAGAGCTAACTTGCTTCCTTCTTGTTTCCTCCTACGTTGTCAATGGACACATAAGTCTTTCTACATACAAACCTCCTTAGTATTACCTGTGCAAAGTGTTGTCTTAAATCTCCCCTGTGTGAAAATTGACAGAGAAATTGCAATTTGTAAATCCACAGTCTCTCTTAAAACTATTTAAATACTTAGCATAAATGATCGTTAAAATGTAAATTACTTGGACAGATCCCTGTAAGGAGGGTTGCTCTGACGATGAAGTCATTTGATGAAGAAGCATAAGTGAAGATTTTAGCCTCCTCAGTGAATTATGTCGGGTGATCTCATCCACAGAGTCACACAGCCCTCACAGAACATATGCATGTACATGTACACATTCACATGCTCATTAACAAAGTCGGATAGTGTGATACATGCTTACACATACGTTGAAACATACTTGCGAAGATCCACACATGCATACGACTCATGGACGCAAAGTACTTCCCACATGGATCACCTAAACACACACACATACACACACATACATGTGCAGCTTGCTGACGTGTGGAGACTCCTGCGTGCGGGGCCAGGGCTGCATGCCACTGTCTCAGCTCGGTAATGGATGTCCCGTTTGTTGCATACACACACAAGCAGACAGATAGACAGACAGACAGTGGCGGGGCTCAACTCGACCGTCCTGTCCACCCGAGCCGAGGATGAGTTCCTCCTCTGTTTAGGAAAGAGGATGTGATCTCACTCGTTAAAAATCCAACCTATGTCGCTTGCCACTCATGACTTAATCCAGGCTTCTCCTTTGTGCAGCGCGCCCTCCCCTTCCCCTCTTCTCCTCTTACTTTCTCTGTCGCTTCCTATCTCCCTCCTCTTCCTATCTGCCTATCTATCTATCTATCTATGAAAGCAGAGAGTGATGCATGTGTAATTTATGGAGGTCAGTCTAGGCTTTTGACATATTGTTTGCTGTTTTTTAAGTCATGTTTTAGGGTGCAGATTCACTCTAGTTGGTATGTTGTTGTTTGATATCACCTCACTTACACAAAACCCATACATACTGGCCTTGCATTATGTGTTCGTGTTTTTAATATCAGCAACACAGGAGCAGGAGTGCAAACAACATTAATAAAGAATCTTAAACACAAAGAAAGTGTCCAGAGATACAACCACCTTAACTGTGTTTTTTTTTCCTCTGCAAGAATTTTACCAGTTCTTTTTAAATTGTACAGAGATGCATCAGCATTAGGATGAGCACTCAGCATTTTCTCTGCACCCAACCCAGCAGGGATCGCAGCTGAGATTGTAGACAACCTTAATCCCTCTGCATGGTTATTGTGCTACTTGAGAGAGTAGCCTTTGCAATTACGTAACCAAAGGACTAGGGCTGCCCCCTGAATCATCAGTCCGAGATCCCTCGGTCAACCGAAATTCTTTCATGTCGAGCGGTCTGCATTTTTATTTGTTTATTTCTGTTTTTGTCAGTCAGTGTACTTCTGAGGAATTTTCAGTCCCCAGATGTAGCTGCAGAATGAGCGCTCCCTGCCTTCGCGTTGCGGTCCATTACAGGCAGCCGCAGACCCAGACCCAGGGTGAGTCTGACTGAGATGGAGGCAGCTGCTCAGAGAAAGAGAGGCTTTACCCAGCCAGGCTCTGAGATAACGATATTCTCTGCCTTGTGCTTAGAAGTGGTGATTTTACAGCTCACAGCAGCTTAATACAATACAGTCATTGCTTTTATTTAATATCTAGTGTACGCAAAATATGCTGTTGCTTATGTCCAATCCACTCAGAGGGCCAGCTTGGCTTTATATTACGTGAATTTTCAAGTTAACTTCATTCAAATTCTCAAACGCTATACGCTAAGAAAGGAACAAATAGTCAAATATTCATATCGAACAGCCAAATCCAATTCGACTGACATAACTCTGAGTCGGTTACATACCTACAAACGACCAAGCATGTGCCTCTCAAAATTTAAAACATGGTGGTCTGCAGTCACGCCAACTGCACGCTGCTCCCTGTTAATGATTTGGTTCATTGGTCTGCAGCACTGAGAGCTGATCACTTCCTCTTCCGCCTTATTCAAAAGCTCACAACCAGATAGCCAAGGTGTTTTTCTAAAGACAACAGGAAAACAGAAGCAAGTAGAATAAAACAACACATGTGCAGGACAATGGCTACATGCAGCGACTGTGAAAGAGACATCTTCTGCTGCGTTTGTGGACTTCAAGAGCAGCCATGCCATGTGCTCGCCGGGTTTTCACTTTGTCCACAACGCTCACGTTTCAGTGTGTGTCTGGCAGTTGGTATGTGTGTCTAACTACATGTACATACTCATCATATATATTGGAAAACAACAACTCTAATCTCCCATTAACTTTAAATAATGGACTGCATCTGTTATTGTTTTTAAGCCACTTTATGTTGTTTCCAGTGCAGCATGTCTGTCAAGCTAAACACACACTTTATAGTCCACAGATGTACACGCAATGAAACCCTTCTCTGTGTTATTATGATGCTTCTCATTAGGTTGTGTTATATGGGGGTCTATCAGAATGACAGTGGTAACAAGAACTGAGCATATGGGCTCTTTCTGAAAACCAAACACAATGGGCTGTTGACAGGCACAGTTATACAGCGGCCTCTAATCTGTGTCTTTCATGGTCAAACTGTACAGAAGTAGAGAACCATCCGACAGCTTGTTGAGGTTTTTGTTTCTTTTCTATTTTGTGTGCAGACCAGCTGTTTGCGTGAGGGTATTTGTGTGAATTTTCGTGTGTGTACACGCACATATACAGTGTACAGTACACATATACGTATTCATGTTTGTGTTATTAACAATGAACCCCTGTCGTCATCCTGGCCAGTGATCCCCATCTCCTTCTAGCAGGTCCTGCAGCCCTCACTTCATACACTGTCTTACTTGCCACAGTTTGCCAGGGCAGCTGTCTGCATGCAGCAAGTGATCGTGGCACCTCATAACTCAAGCTACGGGGAGAGAATGAGAGCGAGGAACTTGATATACTTCATGCCAACAAAGCCCGTTGGACTGAATTGGCTAAGAGGATTTTTTGCTCCGACCATTTTTTCATTTTCAAACATCAGACATATTCCTGTTAATATGCAGCTCGTTTTTCTTTCATTTTCTCCACCTGCTTAATACTTCTTGCTGTTGAAGGAGACTGGGGCCTATCCTAGCATGCATTGGGTGGAAGGCATGAAAAGATTCCTCAGTCTACTTTGGGGATTCATAGTCACTGAAGATATATGCACACACATATTGTCTCTAACTTTTCTCTCGCACACACATTCTATATGTCCAACCAAGCTCCCTTCTCTGATATGAGCTATGAGTCTAGTGTGTGCTGCATGCAAAA